GCTGAATCAATCCATCTCATTTGGGAATAATATATTCATCTAAATAAAGGCCTGGAAACATGTCAAAGCAGTAATCTCCTCCTTACACAATTTCACATTGAAAGGCCTGATAACATCATCTTCAGTTCCTACTATATCGCTGACATGCAACAAAGGATATGATCAATAAAAAAAAAAAAAAATCAACAAAATTGGGTATGGCAAGGAATTCTAGTATTTCTCACCTATCATCTCTTCCATCAAGATTCGTGCAAAATTTCTTCATGATGTAAAATAGTTTGTTTTTAATTGATAACTTAAAAGTTGTAGGAGCATTTTCAGCCAGAAATACCACAGAATATATGCCTCATGGTCTGCTTCTGTTAACTCTATAATCAAGAAAACTCAATGGAGCATTTTAGCTCTGTAACACATGATGTGATTATTATGTATTAGAATCAACTTGAATGAAATTAACATCATGATTCTTACGGATGTGTTTACCAATATCATTTAATGGATGACTATTATTATTATTGTTGTTATGATGTGCTGTCGAATCGCTTGCGACTCATAGCGACCCTATGTACAACAGCCCTAAACTCTGCTCTATCCTGTGCCAATCACACTGCCTCTGACACACCCATCCCAATTATCCCAGTCACTGAATCAATCCACCTCATAGTCTTCCCCTCTTTCACCTGTCCTCCACCCTCCCAAGCATGATGTCCTTCTCCAAGGACCGGTCCCTCCTTACAACATGTCCAAAGTATGTCAGACGAAGTCCCAGAATCCTTGCCTCTAAGGAGCAACCTGGTTTAACCCTCTCTAGGATAAATCTGTTTGTTTTCTTGGCAGTCCATGGTACATTCAATACTCTTCTCCAGCACCACAGCTCAAAGGCATCAACTCTCCTTCTATCCTCCCTAGTCACTGTCCAACTCTCTGAGGCACAACAAATGATTGCAAAGACCATAGCCTGTATCAGACACACCTTAGTCTCCAGAGTGACACCTTTGCATTAGCAATGTTAATGTCATTGTGACAATATAAAAAGGTCAAAGACTATGGACTTAAACAAGGATGATGCCTGAATATGAAGAAATAAAAAGACTATGGACTTAAACAAGGATGATGCCTGAATTTGAAGAAACAAAAATCCTTTACAGATGGACCAGTAAATAATGCCACAACAAATGAAAAAAAAAATTGAACCTGTCAACAACTTCTTTCTACTTGGATTAACAATCAATGTCTATGGACGCAGTAGTAAAAAAATCAAATGATGTATCACACAAGTCAGACATGCTGTAAAACAAAACAAATCATCTCTTCTAGTTTTAAAAGCACAGATGTCACTTCGATGACTAAGATTCATTTCACCCAAGTCACAGTCTTTTCAATAGTGTCTTATATATATGAAAGCTGGATAATGAAAAAGATGGAGCAGCTGACGCAGTTGAAGTACTGGCAAAGGATAAGACAGGATATGCCACAGAGTGCCAGAGGGAGTAAGAAATCTGTTTTGCGGGGGTGGGGGGATCGGGGGGTGCTGGGTGTGGAGGGAGGAAACAACAAACAAGAATGTTCCCTAGAGGTCGGACGGTAAGATTTCAACTCACTTATTTTAGACATATATCATTAGGAAGAACCAATTTCTAGAAAAGGACATCTGCTTGGTAAAGTAAAGGGCTAGTAAAAAATAAGGGAAATCCTTTGATGAGATGGTTTGGTTAGCAATATAGCTGCAACAAATGACATGAGTCAGCATAAGTTACTCAACAGCAACTATCAATGAACATTTGTTGAGGGTACCCAGGTAGCACAATGGTTAAGCATTCGGGTCTTCACAGAAAGACATGAACCAGTAAGTGGCTCTGCAGGAGAAAATGGCTGGTGATTACAGCCAAGGTAACATTATGGGGCAGTTCTGCTCAGTCATTTAGGGTTCCTATGACTCAAAATTGACTCAAGAGCTCACTACAAAAACAATGTAAGGATTATGTATTATTATTTTTCTTATACTACACTTATGAGATAGCTTTTTCATACTATTTTGCAGATTTTAAGATGTCATTTGTTCAAAAATGATTACTGAGTAAGTGAATAAACTAGGATCTGATTATAGAATAACAAGATCTGATTCTAGAATTCTTATTTTAAGAACTCCTTTATTATATGCTTTGTTTGCAAATCTGTGTTCCTCTTTCTCCATATTTCATTCAATGATAGGCTTTTCCACAAATCAGAAGGAATAATTTAAAAAAAAAAAGGTGAGAAGCAACAGGAAAATGCACTGGAAAATAACACAGGCTATAGTATTTGAAAAGTTTCTGCTCAAATGCTGGCTCCATTACTTAACTAGTAATTTTACTTTGTGAAGTATACCTTCTAATGTCAGTTTTTTTCTTTTTCCATCTATGAAAATAAGAGTTAACTATTTTATAAAATATATTGCATGATGTCTGGTAATACAGTAAGCATCCAAATGTAATTATTTGGATTTTTTTGGATTTGATTTTTAGATAAACAAAATAGTAGGAGCCAACAAGAAGAAACAGATCTGCTCAGGAAGGAAGGTGGATGAACACAAGTATATAGAGAGCAGAGGTTTCTGCTAGTTACAGTCCCTAAGTGAATACATGGATCCTTTTTCCAAACCTTTCCAGATGTCCCTATCTGCTCTAAGTTCACTAACTGCTACCTGACAACACTGACAAATGAACTTTGCCCTGAGGGCCAAAATTGGAAGAATAGAATGTGAAGTGCTGCATTTTAATTAATGAACTCTGATCCTGAATGAAGTCTCTCAGTCACAAAAGGACAAATACTACATTACACCACTGTTATAAAACAGGACTGACATGGGGGTTAGGAGATAACTAAAAAAAGAGGAGATAGACAATGAACACACTACATTGGAACAGATTAAGAAAAAAAACTGTTTAAAAAGAATTATGGTTAGACATTATTTGTATGACAACAGTCCAGGATAAGGGATGCAAAGGCAAGTGGAATGAGGGGATGGACAAGGGAGGGAGGAAATTGTGCAGCAATAATTTTTTTTAAGAGGTAAACTAGGGGGTATTGAGAAAAATGTGCAACAATGAATGAAAGAAAATCCAACTTTTCTATAAACTTTCATTAAGATTACAATTAAAAAAAGACTCTGAATGTTTTTGAGCTTCTACATGAAATATCCTCCCACTGATTAACCAGAATGACCTTTCTCACTTGGAGGCACAGTTCTCTTCTATCTCAATCAGCAACCGTACAGTAGGGTTAGGTCCAGGGCACAGAAGGAACGAGAACATGCTAGGACCTCACATACCCATTCCTGGCCATGTGGAAAGGAAGAGTAAAATTAAGTCTCTTAGAACTTAGTGCGTGGCCATTATTCAGAAATAGTATAGACAAGCCTGTATGAGATTTAATATCACACAACTCTAAACATTCAAAGGAGCTGAGATTTCAGTGTAAATTTACACACAAAAATAATTTGTTTTGTTCCCTTTATAAAATTAGTATTAATTTTAATGAAAATTTACAGAGACTTTGGATTTCCATTCATTCACTGTTGCACTTTTCTCCCTGCCCACCCCTCCCCCTCAGTACACTCTTCTCTTTGAAAAGTAAAACAAAAATTCTTTCATTGTTTTACAATCCCTCCCCCCAAGTCCACTCCACTATGCAGCCTTCGTTCTGGACTCTTGTCATGACAATAATACCTAATCACATATCCCTTTTAAACATTTTTCTCCCTCATCTGTTTCAATGCAGTATACATTATCCCATCTTCCTCAGTCTCCCCCTAATCCCGATGTCAGTCCTGTTTTACAACAGTGGCACTATGCAGTATTTGTTCTTTTCTGACTGAGATATTTCACTCAGCATAATGTCCTCCAGGGTCACCATTTTAAATAATACTTCACAAGTTTCTTGTTTTTCAATGCAGCATAGTATTTCATTTTGTGAATATACCAGAGCTTCTCTATCAATTCGTTTGCTGATAGGCACTTACGTTGTTTCCAACTCCTTGCTATTATGGACAAAGCCGCGATAAACATGGGCGTGCATATATCTGCTTGGATGTCAGTTATGGTCTCTTTGGGGTATATTCCCAGCAGTAGAATTGCTGGGTCAAATGGTGTCTCTATTTGTAACTTTTTGAGAAAGCACTACACTGCCTTCTACAGTGGTTGCACCAAAGAATAATTTATTTCTTTTAGGGAGTTAAAAGGAATTTTTAAGCTATGGAAATACTTTTGACTATGACCTTTAGAAAACCATTATAATTATTTCTGACTCTTCCAAATATAATTCTTTAGATATTTTAAATAGCATTATTAGAAAAGGCAAATATTATTTGAAATAAATTAAGCTATGGACTATAGGAGTAATGGGCATTATGACTGCTCTTTAGAGAGCTATAGGATTCATAACTTCACATTTAATAAAAATGTCACAGATGTAAAAAAAAGATGTTTTGGGGACTCTATGCATTTGAGAAGAATAACTTCAGTATATCTCATAGTTTTAAGACAAATGAGAGAAAATTATTTTCTAAAACTATTAAGACATTATAATAATTAAGCTAAAACACTGATTATCTATCTGTATTATGCCATCTTTTGCCCACCAGCCTCCATTATTTAAATACTAATGTTGTTTTCCCAGTAAGTCTAAGACTTAGACAAATTAGTCATATGCTAGAAAGTAAGGAATGACCTGTTTTTTTCTGTACATTTTCTGTACTATGAATATTACTGAGGCATTAGGAAGTAGAGGAATCTTAGTGCCATCTTCTCAATTGCAGCTGTCCCTACTGAAGTTAGTCAATCTGACCTCCAAGAACACCACATTGACCTCTGTTCCCACTCTACTCCCAATACTAAGCACATAATAAATCACTTCACAATTAACAGATGAAATTAGACGGTAAATACCCTGGACAAGGACACTACATTAGAACTAGTTTTTCATTTCTGTGGAAAAAAGTCAGGTAAGAATGATGTACGTACCTGTACCACAGGATCTTTTGGTTGGTGTGATTAACGAGACATGAGCTGTGTCTGTGCATGGCCCACCTGGAAACAGAAAGGCAGGCACATCAGTCAGGACATATCTTCTATGTGTCATGAGCTGAAGAGGACACAGAGGAACCTAAAAAGGAGTCACCTGAGAAAATCTATGAGGAAAGAAAGTGAGAAAGGTCGTGAGGAAAGGCAGTGGTGGTGCATCAATGAAAACCATTTTAGATCAGTATTTAGTAGACAGTCTTTTCTATAACATCCTTTTCACAAAAATAATTTACAGAGTCCTTATTAATTTTAAAAAGCTAAAGGTTAAAGTTTTACTAGAATTCAGATCAAAGTAAGGGCAAACTGCCCCCAAGTTTGGACAGAAAAGTTCTTATACAAAAAAAAGAGAGGTGTTAAAACTATCTTAATTTAAAGGAGAGAACTCTTTAAAGGACAACAAATTGCTCGAGAAAAGAAAGATGATTTTACCATATAAAGGGAGTACTGCTAACTGAAGAACAACTTCTACTTTTTTGAGGAGACAGATATAATTCAAGATTAGGTAAGAGATAAAATTATTTTGTAATGATGGTTTAAAAAGCAATTATCACTTAGAAATCTTGATATTGTTACTGGCAAACTCCCATTAACCATGTTCGGCCCTCTGAAATAAGAAGCTATTATATAAATATCTAGTGATTTAGGCAAGTCCTGGGAGGGGCAGTGGTGATAGGTGAAAGAAAACAGAACATAAAGGTAAATATTAAATATATATTTTTAAAAGGCTCTCCAAGTGACTATGATTAACAAAAGGAGAACGTGATTATTTGGCATAGCTGTATACTACATATGGTAACAATCTTTCATCTATCACTGAGTTAAACATTTTGAAAGGAAGCAAAAATGGAAAAAGCATGGAGACCTTTTATTCTTCTGAGATCTCTTAGTGGCCTAGAAATTCACCATTAGCCCATTTTTTCTTACCAAAGACATAACAGCAATAGTAAATGCTAAGAAGCTATATGGTAGTGGTACAGGGGGAGAGATGATGATAATAAACAAGCGCATTATTCACTTCAAAGAAACTTAGTGAATACTGTGTGTCAGGGCTCTATACTTCAGGAGATTGTAATTTTAAGAAGAGAAAATTTATATATATAAACAGACATGACAGTAATAAAGAGGTCTCAAACAACACAGTACAGGCAATAAATTGCTAAATTATAAGCAGAGAAAAGGAAATTCAGCAGCAACAAGCATTAGCTGGAAATGATTCTTAAGAATTTTAATGATTAGGCAAAAATAAACTAGAATATTTAGAAAAGTCAGACTAGAATTGAAATTGAAAAATCCTATAAGTGACACAATCATCAGAGAAAGCTTATCTTATTAAATAGTGTTCCAGAGGCACAGACAGACAACTGTGAAATGTAAACAGGCAACAGGAAAGAAGATACAGGTCTAGAGGAAAATTAACAATACTACATTCTCCAGAACCCTCTGAGCATTCTGACTTCTACAGTTCTATGCTGCTTTTCCTCCTATGTAACCGATAAAAATACATCTCTATTATATTTTGCTTAACTGCACTTTATGGATATTACAATTTTTAACAAATTAAAGGTTTGTGGCAACCTTAAAATCTATCTGAACAATATTCCACTGGCATGTGCTCATTCTGTGTCTCTGTGTCACATCTAATAATCCAGCAATATTACTGCACATTAAAAAGACTATACTACACTGTAAATAAAACTTTTATTATACACTGGGAAATTAAAAAAAAAATCATGTGACTTTATTTCCAAGGTAAACCTGTAGCTAAATCAACAGATAAATGTAAACATCCTTCATTCTTGGGAAGCACAAGATTAACAGAAGACTCAATTTAATTTAAATCATGCTACTGATCTCAAGTGATTTAGTAATTCTAGCTAAGAGATCCTCAATTTCTTTAACTAAAAATGAGGATAATAAAAATGCCCCTAAGATAAGTGATAATGTCAACTATACAAAAAGACTTCATAAACTATAATGTTTTTATATTATTTGCCATATTATCTTTTCCAGAACCCCATTTATGTTTCCAGGTATCATTATCAACATTTTCATCTACTTTTGGATCGTATCTAACGATCATATCATATCTAATTAATCTCTCACTCTTGTTGCTGTCCAGTAAACACCAATTCATTGCTGACTTTCCATTTGGTTTCCAAGTCTATAAAGTGCACAAGATGAGATAATCTATTTTTCTTCCACAAAGACACTGTTGGATTTGAATCCACAGAGCAGTGCCTTTGAGTTAGCAGCACAACTCTCTATGGACTACGCCATTAGAGCACCTATATGAGGAATAGCATGTACTTAATGACACTTATGAAGTGACCATTTCAAGATGCATACTCTGAAAATGTTTTTGGGGTTTGGTATAAATAAACAGAATGAAGTACTAGAATGAAGTGCACATACTGTATATGCACGTTGGAGGTATTTTAATAAATACATATGCTTTTAACAAACATGCAGGAGCTTTGGTAGCAAATGCCACATGAGTAGTGGGGATAGGTCAAAGGCCATGAGTATAAGGTAGTTCAAATTCACCAGCAGCTCTGAGAGAGAAAAATGGGCAATCTCCTCCTATTACAATTTACAGCTTTGGAAACTGATGGAGGGTTGTTATGAGTGGGAACCAACATGAAAGCAATGTGTATGAGTTTTAATCATGGCTAGAACAAAATATAAGAACAATTCTTGAAAGTTCAGGGAAGTATTGTTGAAGCATTTTCAGAATCTGAAAATACAGGTTCTCTGGCCCACCTCTGCAAATTTTGATGCAGGAGGATGGAGGGACGAATGCGATTAGGGCATATTTTTAAACCAGTTGAGTATAATATAAGTACTAAAAGCCCAGATAGTACCAGCCTCTGATAAGATTTTCTTTTACAGCAAGGACCACTGAGTTCCCACAACAAAGAGAACTGCACAGAACAGGAGTCAAATGGCTTAACTAATCAAATATATGCTTAAATGACAAAACATAAGTCTTCCAACAAAATTCTAAGAGAAGAAAAATTGTCAAAAAAAACCCTCCAAAACCTCCTGAAGATATTTGGTATGACAGAGACTCGTGAATTAGCATGCTTGCAAATGTCCTTACTTGACTTTTAACTCATCTGTAGGTTGAGAACTCATCCTTTTCCCAATTTCTAGTGAATGAATTTCTATAGGTTTTGGCAAATACACAAATAACTTAAAAGGCTACCTTGCCTATCACAACATGCATCATCATGAAAGTGCCCTCCAGAGAGCTTGTTAAACTAACAACCCAATCCAATGTATTCACTACATTACAGTAATGTACAAATGAAACCATAGTGAGTCAAGACAAATTGACAGCAAGAGTAACTGGCAGTGATAATATATCCTAGCTCGGATAATTGGGCAATATTATAAACACAGAGCTAGGAATTAAGTTTGGTCTGACAAACAATAACCTATGAAATGCTTTAAAATCCAGAACAGAAGTCTGTGAGCACAGCACATACATTTTATACTAATTGTATGATTATGCAAAAAGCACATGCTGTCCAATGAATGGAGCAGTCACAGGAGATTACAGAATCTACCATTACAAAATTAACTTGAAATAAACTTCTAAAATGAAAGCAGGAAGTGAAGGAGCACTCAAGGTAAGCCACTTCAAGTTTTTGTGCACCCAAATAAAATAATTCTGAGAGGTAAGGGTAAGTAGTCACAGTCAGAAAATTTGCTCCATTCAAAGGAATGGGGTTGGCTTTTCTGAGCTTTCTAACGACACACAGAGAACTGAAGAGAGGCTACAGCATATGTACCCATAAATCACTGTAAACTCTGCTCCTATTTTTGACCTACCTTTCCTTATTTCAAGGCAAGAGAGGGGTGAGCGAATAATAGAATTGGGACATGGGTTCACATGCACCTGTGTGTGCTCAGTGGGATCAAGCCATGAAATAAATATGCTTTTAAGTACAGACAACTCAAACCATTATACTTTAAATTACAAACAATCGAGTTTGGGACAGTAAATTTTGTGGGTTTAAAAAAAAAAAAAATCTTAAAAGTCCCTTGTCAACAAATAATAGGTTATGTGGACATTCTGAGCCAGCTATCAAAATTTCCAAACCTGAAGTAATTTTTAGCCAACTGTTTCGAATGTTTTCTGCTTACCATTTTTGTTTGCTGAAGCAAAGAGCTATTTTATTTTTTTACATTTCTTCATTCTCTAGAAACACTGAATAAGAGACATTCACCTTGCAGTTGGTAACACTTTCAGCAGACTTTTCTCTGAAATAATGCTAACTTTCTACAATTTAGAGTTTGGAATTTGCAAGCAAATAAGACTTGTGGAAGCTTGTGCTTTGTGGCTAGATGAAGTCTGAATACCTTACACCTTTTCTTCTAGGAACGTTACTATTCTTGTATTAAAGGTGTCATACATAATGCAGCACTATAGATCTGGATCACATTTGCAATTCCACCCAAGAGCCATGAAATGAAATTCTTCAGCTTTATTCCCAACAAGCAGAAATCTTTACAGCATTTGCAATGGGCAAGTTGATTCCAGGGAAACAGCACTCATTCCAACCCTGGAAAGTCAAAGATAAAAGGTAAAATCTGCATACTAACTACACGGTAACCTGCAAAACAGGAGAACTAAATAAAGATATCCTATTAACTATGAGCACTCAGGGAGCTGTGGTGACTCAGTGGCAAGAAGATGTGCTATTAATCCAAGGGCACACAGTGTGATTCCACCAGCTGCTCCATCTTTTCCAGTGCAATTTAGTGCTTCTGAAAACCTGTGGGAGAGTCAGGTATCAGCGAATTGACGGTACACAACCATCAACACTCACATTTTAACAAGCCAAAGTAGCAGAATTCTTACAGTTTCCTCTTCAGCTAACCAGCATTAATACTGGGTGGTACAAAAGAGAGTTGTGTCCACCTAGAGGAGTCTTGAAAGAAAGGTCTGGTGATCTACTTTTGAAAAATTATTCATTGAGCTGATTCAACAGCTGGTACTG